CTTCCTTCCTTCCTTCCTTCCTTCCTTCCTTCCTTCCTTCCTTCCTTCCTTCCTTTCTTCCTTCCTTCTTTCCCATGAAACAAAATGGCTGTATCATGGGCATTACTTCGTATCAGAGCTACAGACCTACTTCAATCTTTATTAGGGGCTGCCAAACACTCCATAATTCAGATATACAAATTGGACTGGCTCCTTATTAACAAACCCTTGCGTATTTTGCAGTATTTCTGTTACCAACATGGTGCAATGTACCCTCTTGCACATGTATTTTAATGCACACAAGTGAGTCAGGAAGATTCTCTGCAGGGGAGCTTCTGAGTAGGAAGGTACAATGGAACTTAAATTTGATGATGTTAAGGGACCTCTTAGGAGCTGGGCAAGGGTCTGCAGGGCTTTGAGACCACAGCTTCTTTCTGAGAGGGTTAGTCCAGCATCTCTCGGTGCAGCTTGTGTTGGGGCTTACATGGAGAACCAGTTTCTTCTTTAGGGTCTTTCTACCTGGATATTTAGGACTCTTTCTAGTAACCTTTACTCCAAGTACTTGTGGTTTTCCAAATATCTTCACTTGCATTAGCTTCTTTGGATCTTACGAATCCTTGACATGCAGGCTAAAAAGCTAATCATATCCCCATTTTACAGAAGAGGCCAATGACAGCCCAAGGTCACCCACTTGTCACATTTGTCCCTTTTCAGCAGGAGAGAAAGTAATTATGCTCAGCAACTGGTAGGAATATCATCAGAAATAGATAGTGCAATTTTTGTGTGAAAATATCTATAGTGTATTTAAGAGGTAACTTATCTTAGAACAAAAAGAAAGTAAAACCCGTGTGGTCTTAAACATATAATAAGTTCCATGGGTTCCCAAACAGCTCCTCAGAAGAGACTGCACAGTTGGAGAAGAGATTTCAGCAAATGAAAACAAGGCTGCAGAAATCCCCATAAAACATGTTTTGGAGCCTTCTCAGCTTGAGACTTGGGACAACTAAAATATTATCTCATATAAAGAGACCAATGTGGATTTGAAAATTAGTTGCCTTTGTTAAGATTGGTTTTCCATTCTGTTAAATTAGTTCATTTAATTATCCTGGTTAGAGGGCTTGAGAGCATCAGCAGCAATAACACCTAAACACTGAGGGGACACTATGTTTTACTGAGATCTCTTTGGGGAACCCCTCCTTCATTCTTCTTCCAAAAGTCAACCCTAGGATTTTGCAGGAGCAAACAGCCCACTCAGGACTGCTGAGCTGGAAGTTAGTAATTCTGGAGCCACTAGCCACCCTCTGAAACTCCCTGATAATGAGGACCTTGTCATGGAAAGTAGGCTGCACCTGCAGAAAGACAAAGCCCCTGTATCTAGCTGTTCCTGAAACCAAACTCTTTGGAATTTCCAGCCGAGAGAGTTAATAAATTTCTTTTTATCTTCATCATGAAAGGATTCCTCATTAAGATGTTGTACTGTAAAATGTTAAGCATAAATAGAATAATAATTGGCTTTTGCTGGTAATTTTTAAATGGAAGTATAATTTATATACACAATATTTATAGATCTTAGGGGTACAATTCATTAATGTTTGATGTACACCCCTGTCAAGACAGAAGGATTCCATCACCTCCAGGAAGATCCTGTGCGCACCTTCCTATTCAATCTCTTCTCATCTCCCACCTCACAGGCAACCACTGTTGATTAGTATTGCCTATTCTAGAACTTTCTATCAGTGAACTCATATGTACAATATGTTCTCATTTGTGTCAAACTTGTTTCACTCAGCATGTTCTGAAGTTGACCCACATGCTTGTAAGTATATCTAACATTTTTTAATACTCCCTATGATGCAGGCACCATATTTGGGTTACATTCTTCAGATCTTTGTTATATTCCCAGGGAGTGTTGTTAATATCTCCATTTTGCAGATAGAAAAACTAAGGCTTAAATAGGTTAAGTAACTTGCTTAGGATCGCATTACTAGTGAGTCTGTCATAGTTGGAGTTCAGGTGTCTGATTCTAGAGACTGAGGCCCAATGATTCAGGGGTTCTGTCTCCTGTTCTGGACAGGTCAGACACTGAGGGAGGTAATAGGTCATTAACCACCTCACTCACAACATGCTTGGCCCCCAACTTCTCCTTCTTGTTCTGTTTTTCCTCTCCTTGCATCTGGGCTGAAATCTCCTATTCCACTCTGGAGGGAGTCACCTTCGCTGGTGCCCCAGATGAACCAGCTCAGGGGAGGGAGAACAGAGGGCACAGGGGGCTGTGGCTGCCCACGGCCTGGTGAGTTACGGCTCCATCTTCCCTCTGAGTGATGACTGTGTGCAAAACCTGACTCATAAATATAGTTACATTTCTGGGCCTGTCTACAGAAAGAAAGATTATCTACAGCTGTAAAAAGGGTAAGGTGAAGTTTAAAAAAAAAAAAAAACCTGCCACCCAGATAACCTGAATTATACAAAAGCCTTTTCCATCTCAGTTGACACCTGACTCAAAATGGAATTTTTTCGAAGGGCACAGTGAAGCTATTAGTCATGACTTACAGAGACGTCCTAGAGCTGGGTCTAACTGCACCTTTGGCAGAGCCTATCAGATGCAGTTGACAGCAGCCCACAGGTCAAAGGGTGACCAGCATTACTCAGCAGTAATGAAGGATGGAACAACAGCAGCCATTTAGAAGGCAAAACCCCTGCTTCTGGTATCCAGGGCTCCTTCTACACCCTCTCCACCTACATCAGCCTAAACTCCTGGAGA